GATGCTTATCTAACCTACCCTTGAGGATTCGGTCTTTCGCGCACAACATCTTGCTCAATTCTTTTAACTTCCATCTTAATTTCTAGTTCCCTGATTAGGCTCTGATCCTTCTCTGAACGTATTTCAAATTTTCAGAAAGTGTGGTGCCTGGAGCTGAATACAGTACTCAAGGATATTTTTACATATATGAAAGCCATCATCAAAGCCAACCAAATGGGAAGAGTTAGGAAAGTATGCCTTAAATTCAGAATGGATTTATGCTAGCATATAACTTGAATTTTTCATCTCCCAAGAATTTCTATCACCAAGTTAGTCAGCCAATTGCCTAGAAATTTGAATAAAACTTCATCAACTGTGTTAGGTAACCTAAAATGAAACATTCATGTGGGAAGTGATATCAGACCTGGGGCATTCTGTGGACTGCTGCCATACAAAATGAATTATTTCCTTTTTGTCCTAGATTGTTTTTATTCTTGCAAAAAAGCTTATTTGAAATTTGAACATGGCCCCAGCTGCGATGCATTCAATTTTCCCTTGCCCTTGTTAATTGGAACAATGATAAGTGCCAATTGGGTAAAATATAACTTAGCTGAAAGTATATGGCATTCTTCCAGTACAAAGGAAAGAATAACATAGAATTAATTAACAAAATTCAATCAAGAGTTATTGTACGAGGGCAACAGTATTTGTATCTTTTATGCAGCAATGTTCACTTATCCCACTAGGCTAAGCTGCATTTTAATTTCTAAGCAGCTAATTAAAAATCCATATGTATTGTTGAGTAATTTAAAGCATTTGACCTATATAACTCACTAAGTTTTACTTTTACTGCTAACTTTTTAAGTTGTATTTCTAGCTGATAGAAAATATATACGCGCCCATCACTGACGAATGCAGGCATTGTATGTCTAAGATCCAAAACGGTGTGTGTAGCATCAGATCATCTATATATCATTATGAAAGGTTTTCCTTTTACAAAATAGACACACTTTTGGAAGAAGTACAAACTGGATTCAGATAACAGAGATACTTTATATGTTGAAAATCATGAACATCAACACCTGTCACTATCCCACCCCCTCCTGTATAACTGTCATCCTTATAGGCCCTGGTGAGAAATGAGGGAAATTGTTTTCCTTGACTGCAAGCTGGCTCAGTATCCTGACTGATACAGATTTAATTGGGTTGAGGATTGTCTTCTTCAATAATCCCATTGCAATAACAGCAACTGAAAATAATCTATGCGACCTGTTCAGAATTTTAGCTGCCTGTTAGTACTCTCTATTGTAAAAATATTGGCTTGTTGTGAGGCGAAATAATATAAAACTTTTTTTGGGTCGAATCTCTGTGTTTTACTCCCCCCCGCATCTTTCAAAAAATCCAAAATGTCAAGTATATTCATTTGGGTAGAAATAAAAGTAGGGTTAGGAAATCTTGAAACCTAAATCCAAATGAGCAATTACTGGCAGATGCTGATTTGACCATAGATCAAGGAGATCAACCTAGAACTGAGAAGAAAAAATTAATCGGTGGAACAACTTCCCTCCAGACATTTTGGGTGCTCCAACACTGGAGGATTTAAAAAAGAAATTGGATAACCATTTGTCTGAAATGGCACAGGAGTTTCTGCTTGAGCAGAGGTTTTGACTAGAAGACCTCCAAGGCCCCTTTGAACTCTGTTATTCTGTTCTGATCAATTTGTCTGTTTCTATAAAGCTCTATTTTAGAATCACCAGATGCAAAGGAAGACAAAGCATCTGTGTTAATATCAGACCAGCTAGCACTTTTTTTTATTTCACTGGCTAACATGTTTTTATTAAAAGTATAGTGCATCGTGTCACCAACAGCCACTATGAATTACACTATACAACTCAGCATTTAAAAAGACATGATTCTATTAAATTTTGAAAATATAAACACAAAGTAAGCAAAAAAGGAAAATAGAAAAAAGTAAAGCATCAAACAAGAATCAAAAGTACAAAAAAGAAAAAGAAAACAGGAAAAGAAAAGAAATGGCTTCTGACTTTCTTTGCTATAGACATAGATAAAAAACACATCCAACTCTTATTCTAAAATTAACAAGTCTATATTACTTCTGTAATCCCATATAATTCTAATCATCAAATCCCAAAACCAAAGCTGCATTTTTCTTAGTTTCTTGCAAAAAGTCTGAAGGAGGCTTTGTTAGCAACTCATCATTGTCTCTTAAATTATAAGCATAATCGTCATGCCATATTTCACCTATTTTCTATTGACTCATCTCTAAATCTTCCAATCTTCTTATTAATAAACCAAGATCCACTTAGCCTATTTTCTCATTCCCCTCTTAACAATTAAACATTACAAAAAAAAGTAATCAATTAGGCATCATAAAAAATAATCACCCCTTAAAAGCCCTCCCCAATTACTGGGGTCAAAATGATCACCTGATTGCAGCTGACTGTAATTGCAGCACTGAAGCAGCAGTAAGGCGGTGCTGAAATGGCCACATATGTCATTCCCATTGGACTAATGGGTCCTGGCATTCTGTAAATTAGTTCATTTAAAGTACATTGGTTCAAAAAATGTTTCTCTATGATGCACCATTTCACACAATTTAAGATTACAAATCAACAAATATGTGATTTTTAGTAGTATATATGTAAAGCATGTTCTAGAGCAGTGATGGCTCACCTTTTTCTAAAGGTGTGACAAAATTGCACATATGCGCACCATCACACAGACACACACGCCCACACCTGCGCATGCGTACATGACCATGGCCCCCGCCTATGCCCTCCCCATTGGTGGGGGGTTCACCCTCCCCAGGCTCCAGAGGCTTTCCTGAAGCCTGGGGAGGATGAAAATGGATCCTCCTGAAGGCCGAAAAATCAGTTGGTCAGCACGCGCATGCGCCCCGGAGCTGAGGTCTGCCGTGCTGGCTAATATGAGTTGTGATGGTGGCACACAGGTGGCATGTGTGCCATAGGTTCACCATCACGGTTCTAGAGATGTACTGTTATCCAAATGAGGGCATTTCTTAGAACTTCTAAGATCTTCAAAAATCATTCATATCTACTCCATTCTGATAAAATGAACACTTCAACTAGGACAAATTTAAATTGACAAATGTGGGATATTTTTAAGCACCCCAGTGTATGACACTAATCTCAGCAGTACAGGCAGGATCAATCAGTCAACTTTCTGATAGGGAATGCTGATGTTCTGATGGATTGGCGGAAACAGGCATTTGTATAAGATTGGAAATGGGTACTCCATCATCAAGTAATTAATCAGCTCATTTTTCATCTGGACAGCTGTTAATATTTATTGCACTGGAGAACTTATCATGTTGAGGATACAGTGGGCAAAAGTCTCGGGATATATTGTCATTGTGTAACAGTGTGTGAAACTAAAGATATTGTATTGTACTTTGCACACACTGTTTGGTCTCTTTCTTGGAATTGGATTGTACATTCATTTCTTCCAACTGGTCGGCCGCAATATCATTCTCCAGATTTGATGTCCTACCTCAGTTAGAATCTTGACCGATTCTTCTCTTGCTTGCCATATTTCATGTATCAGTTCCTGTAGCCTTCCAACTTACCAATGACCAGAGTGCTGATCTAATTTCATCTTGGATATTGACCTCTCTACTGTACAGCTTATCAGTATACTCCATATTGAGAAAAACATGAATTGTATTTCATTCCTTTCATGACGAAGCCATTGACCGCCTCCCCCCCCCCAAAAAAAATTGTCCGCGGTATTTATTTCTGTAGAGCTGAAAGGTCATTGTGTGGGCATCTGCTCACAGGTTTATTGGACATCAGAGGAAAAACTCCTCTGCAGATACTGTGTGTATGACAGGCAGCTTGCTAGATGCTATTTATCTGAAGTTTAACTCACCCTAGGGACGGAATTAATGTTCAATTTTTGTCATAAATGAATGCATCAGCATATCTTGTAAGAGCTGCAGGATTTTTTTTTTAAATCATGAATTCAAGTGTTCCAGGTATGTTTGTTCCCAACCTCTGTGTAATGCCAAGTGAGCCTTTTTGTTAATTAGACTATTCAAGGCAGGGATGTACAACTTGTTTGGTCTCTAGAGTCCTTTTTCACAGTATAGTGCCAAAAAGCATATCATTTGAAGTGAAAAATAACACCAAATCATGATAAGGCCATCACAGTTAAAAAAACAACAAAGCTCTATACCACCTGCCAAAGAAACCAGAAAAACTATGGAAATCATAATGCTATTAACCAAACTTCATGATGTAGTTGTGGCCATTGGGTATTACCGTTTCTACAAATTTTAAGTGCAGCTTCTAGTTTTTTCTCTTGTTATATATATATGCTCTGAAAGGCAAACTATTTTTTTAAAAAACTATCCTAATGTATGCTGGTTATTCCATTTGTTGGACAGAAGAAGCTCCTCTATTTTTCAGTAGATTATCCTTATGGTGGAATAGGGAATATGGGGGACAATGAATGCATAAAGTCAGGTTTCCTACAAATATGAATTCTCGTAAACAATGTCCTTTTTTAGTTTTATGGTTTTTAGGCATAATTGATCTTTGTGGATCTCAGAGTAATAAATCCCACAAGCTTAAACTTTGCCCAGATGGACTATTTCAGTGGCTTTTACAGTTTGACAAACTTTGTGCTACTTTGTGCAACAGCGGCTCTGGAGTCACATGTGGTCTTTCATCCCTCTGCTGCAGCTCCCAGTAGCCAGTTGGCTCCACAATTGATAGGGCTTTCGATTAGGACAGGTAGAGAAAAAAGGACGCTGCACTAGGAGGAGACACTATGGTTGGAGAATCAGACTTCCGGTCGGCAGAGGAAAAAGGATGCTGCGCTAGGAGGAGACTCTCTGGTGGGGAAACCAGTCTTCCGGTCGGCTCCAGAATTGAACGGGGGGCTTCTGATTAGGACCTTTGTGGCTCTTGTGTTTAAAGTTGCCAACCCCTGGTTTAAAAGGATGAGAATTTGCCTGAATGGACACACTACCACACAAATTTGATCAACTTGTTTTATTACAAAGATATCCCCCAGCACCTGAAGGATTTTGCCACTTCCATTAAACACCAGGTAAAGGGGGGAAACACTCACAAATAACTTGACAAAGTTATAATATATATATATTACAATAAAGTTGGGCTCCCCTCATTTTCCACCTTGCAGACAACTTATTTATTTTCAATGACTGAAGCAAATATTTGAACAAAGAATTAAATAACAAAGCATAGGCCATCACACTTGTGCACCAAGCACACAGCTTGGAGCACCACAACTACCTCTAGTCATACTCAGGATAGGACCTTTCAGGGGGAAAGGAAGATCAGTCATATTAGCTAAGAGCTTTCTGCTCATCCAATTCTATGTAGGAACTAGGCTGGCTGTTGATGCCAAAATTATAACTTCCTGCACAGACAAAATAGCACATTTGTTAAACCTGCTTCAATTTCAATCCATTTCCCTCCTCTCATGGTAATCAGAATAGGGTCCCCCCTCCCATTCCTGAGTTTTCCTTAAGTATGTGTGTAACTGGGCAGCTCCTCACGATTAAAAATAATAATAATTTTGAAGGAAACAAACAACTTCTGTCAAGTTAAATGTAGCCCAGCTACATTCTTAGATTTCTCTTCCACAACCAGTCTCTTGGCAAATACATGTACATTTCTTCAGTGAGCGTAACTTTTTGAAGTTCTGTTTTCAGGTCTTCTATATTCCTCTTTATTTTTGCCCTGGATAAAATCTGTATTTCAATATAGCAATATATAAAATCCATCATGACATATCAGCTCCCCAAATAATATACTAACACTAGGCATTTTGGAAAGTTATATCTGAAGTAAGGTAACTGTCAAGGACAAGATTTTGATTAAAAAACTGAAATTCACCCCACAATCAATTCAGCCTCAAAACTGTGGCAACTCCTCCCTTGTTTTTGGTGAGGTAGTGTGGTATGCTTTGAGCATTATTTGGCAGTTCATGAGCTTGGCATTGTCAAGGGCGTGTGTCGGCGTCAGTGTTTGTGATGAGTTTTCATCTTCTTATACAAAACATCTACTGCCTGAAGGCAACTACCTAAGGTACCAAAGGGGAATTTTGAGAGTACTAGAACTACTGATATTCTCTCCTTCACAACAGAGAGGACAACGTAAGGGTAAAGGGAACATTTCAGGCATCAAAGTTAGCAATACATGACACTTCGCAATGATGCTGGCAAATGCAGGACACTGCACAAAAAAGTTCCCTTCAGATAGCAATTGGAACGGAAATACATACCATTGTTTTTGTTCTAATGAGAATTAACAGTGGCCTTACATTAAACCAACTGTTATGAACTTTGGGTTTAAGCTGAGCTGAGAGTTCAGCCCTATATATATACCCTTTGAACTAGCAGGGGCAGGGAAGAAAGCACATTCCTTTGGCCCTGCAGCACACGTCTATTTTTCCTTCTATGGAAAATTATTCCTTAAGCAGTCCGAGGGCAGTCAGAGAGTTTTCCGAGTGCAAAATCAACCTACAGGAATATCTGGGAAGTTTGGAGAAGTGGGAACATCTGCACGGATTGGTTGGTTTTCTGACTCTTGTTCGCTACGCAACAATAATCCCTTCAGCAAGGTAACAGCCGTTTTTGTGACGAGATAAAGTGCTTTCACATGCCGTGTCTATTCGGGAAGGAACTGCATTGTGGAGCCTATGAAATCTCCACCTCTTTCCAATGTTGGAGGATGGCGTGGCTATGTTACACATATAGTACAAAAATAAAAGGCACAAAATACATATAATGCAGCAAACTGTGTACAGTAAATGGATTCCCTGATATTTAAAGTACACAGAAGAAAGAGGGGCACTGTTTATAGAGAGAATTCCTTTGTGGATCTGAGAGCCTTTTGAAACCTTCATTCATTATTCCCTGAGTTGTTGCTGCTTTTGTCTCAACAACCTCCATATCCTTTGGTGCGCAAAGATTTTCTCTGGGAAAATGAATGAAGTAAAAAATGGCCATTTTGAAGATGATCAGGAGGGCAAATAAGTTATGGGAGCCATGCAGTGCAGATCCTCTAGTAAATTTCAAGCCGTTTAGTGGACACCACTCCAGATAGTGTAAGATGGGGGCAGATCTGCTATCAAGTTGGTTTCTTAATCATCATATACATACAGCGGGGTACTTATTGACAAACAATGACTTAGAAAGGGTGTTTCTGAAAAGACAGTGCACTGCAGAGAAGGTCACTTCTAAACACAGGAAGAAAGTTCAGTCTGATACCTATGCTTCACTGCAGCACTCGTAAATATTGTCTTCCATAAGTGCAATCACTTGCTCAAATTTGTGCTGCAGCTGAGTGCGTCTTGTGGTAGAGTTGGAGTCCAACGCATTCACTATCTGAGGAAACAAGGAATTAAACAAACGTGAGGTATTTATTTATTTATTTATTTATTTATTTATTCATTCATTCATTCATTCATTCATTCATTCATTCATTCATTCATTCATTCATTCATTCATTCATTCATTCAGGCAGTGCAGTCTTATGCATGTCTACTCAAAACTTTTTCTCCAGGAAAGTGTCCACTCAATGTATGTCATTCAAGTTCTTAAACTATCTACCTGTTTAAGCTGATTTCCACCCATCTTTTAGTAACATTCTGACTATTATACTTCCTTATTACTATAATGATTCATACTTGTATTTTTCAACAGTGGCAACTTCCACATATGTGGTTTTTAATTCTCAGGATTCTCCAGCAACCATAGCCATTACAAATTTGGGAAGCAGTGGTCTATAGCAGTGTTTTTCAACCACTGTGCCGCGGCACACTAGTGTGCCGTGACATAGTGTAAGGTGTGCCGTGGGAAAATTACTTTATATATAGTCAATATAGGCACAGAGTTAATTTTTTTTAACATTTTCTAATGGTGGTGTGCCTCGTGATTTTTTTCATGAAAAAAGTGTGCCTTTGCACAAAAAAGGTTGAAAAACACTGGTCTATAGGAATGGCTGTTGCACTTTCTTGCTAATACTCAGCTTTTGAGAAATAAACTTAATGCCTTTAGAAGATTCCAGGTAACCCTCCTATGTCATTCCATTGCGTATGCCTCCTTTTTTATTGAAGGAAAACTATTTAACGTTTTGCATCTTGCAATGTCTTTACCATTGCAGATAAGAAGGGGGGAAAAGATGAATTGTCCTTGGCAAAGATGAACGATCTATTGGAATAAGCATTGTGGCTTTGAGGTGGGATGCAGAAAGCACAACTGCAGACTGTAGTTAAACTGCTCATGTAGCTGGGGAGTAAGACAGGTGATGGTGTGGGGGAACCGCAGGTCCTCCATACTTGTTGCTCAAGATTGAAATGAGGGGTCCTTGGTGCTCTCCAAGCTGGGTTGTTTTCTTGTAGACATTTCATTATTCAAACTAGATAATGTCATCAATTCTCTGATGATGTTACCGAGTTTGGATGATGAACCATCTTCAAGAAAATAACCAAGTTCAGAGCGCATCAAACCCCATAAGCCTACTTTCTATGTAAACAATGTGAATGGGTGACCACAAGTGTGGGAAAAGGAAAGCGACAAGTCTGTTGACATGGCTGTGTTGTTTCCTCTTTGTGAATGGAGATAACATTCTTTTGGTTTATTATGACATAGGATTATAAAATATGGGTTGATACTGATTGGAAACCTAATGTTATTGTTAAACTGAAATGTGTGATTTCCCAATTTATTTCTAATAGAAACTGTAGCTTAATAAAGCTTGGTTATATTGCATGGAGCCAAAGAAAGAAGAACTGCCAAGTACTTTTGACTTCTTAAGCACTGTACTGTACTTGCATAGGAGTAAGTCCTATTGGACTTAATATCTGAATAGGGCTGTATAGGGAAGTATGGTTAGTGTAGCAGAATGAGAATTTTTCATTCTTATGGCAAAGTGATAGACTGCAACAACTCAGAAACTACAAGCTGCCCAATTGATCCTGGTACAAAAATGCATTTTTACACAGAATGTTAAGAACAGCTGGGCTTAGATAACAGCGCTCTAAAATTACGTCTAATACTTTTCAGATTTACCCGTTAACAGGTGTTTTCAGGTAATAAAAATAACACCAAACCCATTCTGTGTTTTTCAGTTCGTGCAAATTATTTTCATGGTATTTTAAAAGATTTTCTGTAAAAAGTCTGAGATGTAACAGTTGTGTGGGGAGGGAGAGGAAGGGAATATTGGGTATGTTTATATGAAAAGAAACTAAGAAGTACTAACTGATGCAAAGGTTTTTTTCCCCCTGAAATGACATAATCCTTAAAACTGAAAACCCATGCAAGATCTGCGTTTTGTGTAATCTTTTACTCTAAAGCTAATCTTTTACTATCTCAATGGATCTAATTATTAGAAGCATTAAATAATTTGAGTTATTAGCAATTTTCAAATCTCCTGATTATGCAAATGGATCATGGACGAGAATAATTTGGGCTCGGGTAACAATGTTATTGGTTTGCCAAAGGCCAAATTAAAAAAAAAGGAATGCATTTGGAACTAATAGGGGCAATAAAAAAGTAAACCAGGCCAAAGGGAGAAACTCAGTAAGTAAATATCTAAGAAATTAATTGCATGAAGAAATAAAATGAAATTGGACACTTCCTGTAAGCAGCCATGGCGAGCTGATGTTTTGCTGGCTTCTGCTGGCTAGCAACACAGTTTTTCCAAGAGGAATGGCTGCTGGATTCTGGATCTGATCTGGCGTTATAGATTAACAGATTTGGAAGGGACCTTGTAGGTCATCTAGTCTAACTCCCGGACCAAGCAGACCTTCTGACAAATGGCAGTTCATTCTCTTCTTGAAAGCTTCCAGTGATGAAGCACCCACAACTTCTGAAAGCAAAGCTTTCTGTTGGTTGATTACTCTCATTGTCAGAAAGTTCCTCCTTATTTCCATGTTGAATTTCTCATTGTTCAGTTTCCATCCATTATTCCTTGTATGGCCTTCAGGTGCTTTGGAAAATAGTTTGACTCCCCCCCCCCCTTTTCTGTGGCAACCCCTCAAATATTGGAACGCTGCTATCATGTCTCCTCTGGTCCTTCTGTTCACTAGACTAGCCATGCCCAGTTCCTGCAACCGGTCATCGTATGTTTTAGCCACCATTCCCCTAATTATCTTGGTTGCTCTTTTCTGCACTCTTTCTAGAATCTCATATCTTTTCTATAGTGTGATGACCAAAACTGCATGTATAATCTTTCCAGAACCGGGGGAGGGGGGGGGAATCACTGAAATCATCCATGTGACTCCGACAGCCACCCTTTATGGAAACTGCCATTTTTATAATTGGCTTACATCAAGAATATTCTAATCCTTTCAGATAACTAAAGATCTTTTCAAATGGTTTGTTTCCAGTGTCTGATAGAGTGGCTTGTTATTGAATTGAGATGCCAAATTGGTTCTGAAAGCTGCAAAAAGTTTGAAGAGGGCAAACACATCAGGAGCTGCACATTGCTCCCTCGTGATCTGGATTCATATTTTGAATCCAGATTACGAGTGATAGGGATTAATACCCCTCGTGATGTTATACATTAATAATATTAATTCAGTGCGAGTTTAGATTTGGTATAGTAGTTAAGCATCACTGCAATGATACACATCGAAGTATTTCACAATGCAAATATAGTTACACTCAACCTTTGTTGCTAGAAGCTAGAAAGCCGACAGATAAAAACAATTTTTTCCTATCAGATCAAGGAAGTGACTCACCTGATTGCGATATCTCTTGGCATATTTATAAATCTCTGTCATGGCAACATTGGTGTTAAACTCATTCCGATATTTCTTCATGAAGAATAAAACAAACAAAGAATGTTACTTCAATGTTCACTAAATCACGGCCGCCGTTTTTGACAGGAATCAATTGAGTTAGAATTGTACTTGCGTTGGACAGTGCTCTATGCTGCATCAGCATAGTTGAACTCTGATTGTTTTCAAAGTCAGCTAATTAATATGTGACATACTTAACTTATGAGTAATGCAGGGGAAAAAATGAAAAAGCATTGTGGCCAAGGAAAATCTCTTTAGTGATTTATAGTCAAGCAATTTTTAGTTGGATTCCTGATAATACTTAATACAGCACTCTTGAACACTCTTTGACTAGAATATAAAAGCTGTTTTTAATTAGACATGAAATCAATACAGGTAGTCCTCGATTTATGACCACAATTGACCCCAAAATTTCTGTTGCTGAGATATTTGTTAAGTGAAGTTTTGCCCCGTTTTATAACTTTTCTGGACACAGTTGTTAAATGAATCACTTCAGTTGTTACATTAGTAATGGGTTTGTTAAGCGAATCTGACTTCCCCATTGACTTTGCTTCTCTTAAATTCACAAAAGGTGATCGTGTGACTCTGGACACTGCAACTGTCATAAATATGAGTCAGTTTCCAAGTGTCTGGATGTTGATCACATGGCCGTGGGGATGCTACAACGGTTGTAAGTGTGAAAAACACTCACTAAATGAACTGTTGTAAATCAAGGACTATCCGTATTCTCACAATTTGTATGGGATTAAAAGTACTTGCGAAAAGGTTTGGAGAAATTGTCATAGGAGGAAAATCTGAAACTGATGCATTATCAAAGAGATATCTTACCCTGGATTCCTCTGCTAGATGGGCATTCATTTCCTGCTCACTAAGAGGTGGCATATCATGGATCTGTTTGTAATACTTCTGTACAATTTTTCTATATTCAGGAATCTCCTTAGCATATAATAATTTATTAGTAGGTGAATCCTAGAGGCAAAAATCCAGAGGGAGTCCATTATTTTTCAATGATTATCATTTTTTCTTTTTTATTAAAAAAAAAATAAAAATATTTTCTGATAAAATATAAATGTATGCACTGGCAAGTTTAAAACATCGTTGTATTGAAATGAGCAGTTATCTTTGCATTATATTCCCTATGAATATATGATTCAATGCATGTTATAGCACGTGATAAATAAAATTAATTAAAATAGTCTTCAGACCAGTATTCCCAAAGGAATATTTAACTATAATCTAGCATTATTCCAGGAGAGTGCTAAATTTATTAGCAGAATACTATTTTTTAAAACATGTGTCACTGGGTAGCCCATGCTGTAACATTACACTTAATATATGCTCACTTTTATTTATATTTATACCAATGACTAATTAAAGGATTAAATTACAGCCCTCAACAAAGTGCCTCAAGGAAGTATATTAAATTCTCCAGATTCACTTCAATAACAATGCAAAACAGGTTTTTCTTGCAATTAAATCTCTGTAGCACTCAAAGGGCTATAAATCAGCATTAGGTTTCCTTGGGATCGATAAATTAGTTTGGGCTTCCTGGTGTCAGATTACCTTGAAAGCCAATATGTAAGAAGGTTGTGATAGCCAAGTACAAAAATTCAAATGGTGGTATAGGATTAGATACCTATTAAGAAAACAGGATTGGTCTTTCAACAAACCAATCTCATATTCAGTCCATTGATAGAAACAACAATAAAAAAATGGTCACCCAGCAAAAAGAAGGCAAGAAGAAATAATTCTAAGTACCAAGTTTTCTAACTCCCAGGAAATAGGTTATATACTCCTTATTGCTATGATTTTAGTAATGCCAATTCATGCATTTGAGCTTGACAATTCTGGATGTGCATTAAAAAGCATCTTATCCCAATTAGAAACCCAACATCTAAATTAGATGTCTTACTAAGCATTTGCAACTCTCTCAAGGGTCAGAAACTTATTGTAGGTTGACATGAGGCAGAAAAAAAAACTTTCTACAGACAGCCAAAAATTGCAAGTACCATATCCCAGAATTATGACTTGGGTATAATATTATTGAGTGGAAGAACAATTGAAAACATCATCCTTACTGGCCATTACGTACCTTGCCCAACTGCAGGTCAGAGATGGAACAGGCATCAATGAAGGCCTGAGCTATTACAGAAAGACAGGCATCTATGTGGTCAGTTTTGTCGATATCAAAGACAAATTGGGGATTCTTTAGAATGTTGACCCAAAATCTCAGAGGTAGGCTATAGAACAAAATTCACAGTGATAGTTATCATGTTCATTCTTACATCTTTCCATTACAAGGTGAAATAAATTAAATAACATGTCAAATGTTAGTATCTAGATTTTGATTTTGCAAGATTTTGAGTTGATGGAATTGGTCTAATGGGAATGATCTTTGACCATCATATTTGTTGCCTAAACATCCTTCTTTCATTTTGGATTCTAACTTTTCTATTTTTGTTAAATATAGGGATTAATCTGTAACTTCTATAAAAGTTAATTCTATAATGCAAAAATATCACCCCTAGTCCTTCTTTTCACTAAACTAGACATAACCAATTCCAGTTTTTTATATGTTTTAGCTTACAGTCCCCTAATCATCTTTGTTGCTCTTCTCTTAGAGTCTCTACATCCTTTTTACATTGTGGCGACCAAAACTGGATGCAGTATTTGAATAACTTAGAATTTGTCTGGTGGGAGTTTGAAAAGCATTGAGCTGCAGTTCTGCAGTTATTTCCTGCTCTCTTTACGTTTTCCTCTCATTCATTCTACGTATGCTTCCTCCTCAGAAACTACCGTGGGAATCAAAGGCGCTTGTTTAGAAGTAGACCTGTATAAGACAGAAATGATGGAAATTCTTTTCCGAACCTGTTGGTTTTCCAAATGTGCAATGTGTCTGGGTCAGAGATTCCCCGTTTCTCTGCTTGCTCTTCCAAGAAATCAAAGAAATATTTAATTGCCAAAGGTGGCCTGTCATCTTGGATACTCAGAATGGCTCTGAATAAATCATCCAGGAATTTTTGCAGTGTGCCCTAAAGAATGAAAATATTCAACTTGCATTAAGAAAGGACCGACAATGATGACTAAAATATTAATAAGCTTTAACTATTTTTCAGACTAAGTTTAAGAAATCTGAAATAATATGATTGAGTGAAGAGGGAGGAATCTTTCGTGAGAGTTGGGATAATTTTCTGTATACTGAAGTAATTAGTTTTAGTTAGCATTTAATCCTTTTTGGCACTAAGATTCTCCTTCTCTGGTTCTGGAATCTAAGAGCACATCTGTGATTGTTCTGTGTGGTAAACAGTGGGGAAAACTATAGACCCCTGGCAATTCTGTGATCTCGCCTCCAATTATGAATCACAAAGCACTGGAATTACAGACTGGTTTCTAGCCAACATCTGTGTCCAAGTCCATTAAAAGCATTAGCAGTGATACTCTATGGTTCCCCCCCCCCCAAGTAGATGGGACTCTTCACCATTGTTGCAGTAGATAACTAAGTTTTTCTTGAGTATAAAATGCATAACATGAAGAAATACTATCATATTTCCCATTCCAGTTATTTTAATAACAAAATAAGAAACTGAACTTATATGCATTTGTAAAAACACTTTGCTTTTTAAAAATATAAATGAACTGTTAGTTTTGATTTTGTTTTGTAGCAGTTGTTTTACTGTAATACTATATTTATGCTATGCTATTTATATTGAATTTTTAAGATTTATTTCTGTTTTTTCTAGCAAATTGATCTTTATGTTGTGCTATGTGTTGGAAAAATTAATGTTTACTGCTAACTGCTTTGGGTATTGATTATTATAGAAATATGACACATAAATAGACCATTGGACCAGAGGTCTAACTTAGCTGAATAAATAATGTGGTGTAGAATAAAGGTTTTAGTCAGCACATATTTGTTAATCTACATATGATATGTAGTCTAGGATCAAAAGGAGAAAGCTTAATCCTTCATTCAATCACTTTATCTGCTTAATACAAAAAGCTGTAAGTTAAAGAAATCACAAACATTAACAAAAACACAATGGCTAGAGAAATAATTAAATTTGTCTCTTTTGAAGTCACTTCTGTCTATAATTATGATTTGCAATTTTATCACAGTCAACAGTAATAAATGTGAAACTCTGTATAACCCTCAAAGCAGTCATGATATATAGATTCACTATGCCCAAAACTTAGTAACACATCATAAAACAATACTCAAGATGAAAACAGCAGGTAAAAATCTAATGCAATATGTAAACAATGTTAGAATATAACCCAGTATCACAAAATTAGAAAATAATGAAATATCCTAATGTCTTTTTTATTTACAAATCTTATAAAATGTGGATTTTTATAAGCACAGTAATCTGAGTTAACTTATTCCAAAAATATAATAATTAAAAATATTAATGGACTTAACGAGTTCAATGAAATATACTCTTTACTCACATTGCACTCATGTCAGAAGCATTGAGGTGCTTCCGTGTTGAAATAATTAGCTGGTGACATCACTGTTGTCCAGGCAAAGCCCAATTGGGGGCTCCTTTCATTTCCCTAGCAGGAGCTGGAGCAAAGGACAGGAGCTCACTCTGCCCCATGGCAGCACATGGGTGTCAAAAACAGGCTTGTTGTTTGTTAATCCAAAATCCTAATCTGGTGAGCCACCAGGCTCCTTTCTAAATGTAATTTACCAAGATTATGCATGAAATTAAACTACATTTATTCTTTACTAAATGCCATTTAATTTCATGCACACTTATCTAAAATACAAGTTTCAGGAAATGTAGTAATAAAGCTTTATTTACAGAAACAAATGTACAAAATTGCACTACAAAATTTCATTTTTAATCATAAGGATAGCTATTTTCCCATGTAATGTAAAACACAGGGTAATTCAGAGTTAATTTTAGTTGAACTTGATTTTGTTAGTCAGTTGGAACATTTGTAATATGCCAAAGGAGACATCTGGGATCAATAATTTCATACCAAGAATACTTATATATCAATCTTTTCACTCAATGCACCTCTAATGTCCTACCTTTGTGGAAAGCAATCTGGTTAGGTAGATTTCAGGAAGAACTTTTTTCCTATGACTTTGTCGATACGATTTTTTATGTTCATTTAGTTCATCTGTGGGAAGGACCTGAACAATGGCCAAACAATAATAACAATAAAGAACAAATCCACTCACCAACGGATGATGTACGATTACAAAGGTTTTGTTAAATAATATAACAGCTGACTACAAGGCATTAATTTTTTTTAAAAAGGAGAAAGATTACTTCTTTATGCTATAACCAGAGCAATGAGATTATTAACAATGGAACAATATTAAATATAATTTATACTATTGCCAGCTATATTGGCTGTTTCCTCCTCCTTTCCTTTCCCTTCTCTCTTTCAGTGAATGGAGAATTTTGCAGTAGATTCAGTTTACAATGAATTCGGCTGTTTAAAACATGAGTTAGATACAACAATTCTTTCCCTTTTGATAATTGGCAATCATCAGGAAGATAAAATATGTTAGAAATACATGCAAGATTATGACAGAGACTACATTAAAAAAATTGAATGCATTCCTTCTCTCTACCAAATTTGTGTGTTCAATTATTATCCTATTACACAAACAACTCAAGAACCCCAAGGGTCTAAACTGTCCCCTCCCCAATGAGTCTGATCCTAGGCCAATAAACTGACTGGATGACAAATTTATCGCTCTGCATGCACTGTGCATATGGAAAGCATTCTTATATTTGCCTTTACAATAAACCATGTACAGCCTTACTGTCTTTACATTATACATTACTAAACTGTAAGGCAAGAGAAAGGGGGGAAGCTTGTTTCACTAGGAACAGACTTGGTTATAGTTACATTGGGCCAGGCCTGCTTCTCAACCATCGAATTATTTTTTGTAATTCTTTTCTCAGCTTTGTCTAAAGTTCTGATTTGGCTATGACTTCATTTTTCTATATACCATGTCAGTCAGACATTTTTTTAGATAGCTATTGTGTGTGGGTCCTTTTCTTGGATAGCTATTTTGTACAGAGAATGCAGCTGAGGGAGAAAAACTTCCTCTCTAAGAAAAATCTGTCTGGCCCACCTAGAAAGGCAGAGTGGATATCCTTTGGAACAGAGTACTCACCAAATGAAAGTATTTTTCAGTGTCCAAGTCTTTTACTGGCGGAAAAAAGGAGAAAAGCAAAGGAGAATTTGCTTAGTGTACAATTTTGCATGGTTTTTTTTCAAGAGTAAAAGATACCTATTATTGAAGATGATCCGCATGTCAGCTTATTGAGTTCAAACATGAACCTGAGCACCATTATTCCATGAAAGATTAACGGAGTCAAATAATTTTTACTTGGCTTCTAAAAGGTTTTTTTTAAATAGTTTGAGATCTAAATGCATGAGCCTGAGATAGGAATGTATATTGGATTCCAGTTTTGCTTTTCAATTTCTAAGCTTATGTCTATTATGGCTGCCTTTTATCACTGAATATTTATCAGTTCCTTGAAAACCACTTAAATAGATTTTTAGAAAGAATCAGATTACATCTGATAACTAAAAGGAGTCTAATCAATTCTTCCACCTGCAGTTAGTTACATATCTAGAGTAGAAGTTTGATCAGAGAAAAAAGTAAATCAAGTAAAGTTTTTTTATCGGGTTTATGAGTACATATTTAATATAAATATTAATATTACATGTTTATTGAATCTAATATTATTTATATTAGGCTTCAGCCATAGAAACACAGTAAGAAATGGATTCAGTACAGGAAAAAAAATAATGCAAGAGTACACTTCCACACATGCTCTAGCAACAGGATATTTATATCTACTCATTTACAGCAAAAGTTATCCAAAATACTTGAAACACATTTATACTGTGTGTGGTCACTGCAAGCTGTGAGTGAATTGCTTATATTAGCAATACAAATAAACAGAGGATTGCTGCTCATTTTATTACCTTATGCCAGATACAAACAATGAAAGACACAATAAGTTCTGGAGCCAAAGAGGCTTTTTTTTTTTTTTGCTTCCCATGAGGTAGAGAGGAGATCTCTGTTGGAGGAGGAAATTCAAAAATGGGGTTTTATCCTGAGCCTCTCTACTATTCTCTGCAGTTGATTCTTTCTGACACTGTAAATCCCCAGGATCAGGCAAGCTTTAAAATGATATAGTAAAGATTGAAGAGGGAAATTGTTTTGCCCGTGTGAAGGAAAATGTTGGGTAAAAATTATGGATTACACCATAAGAATACTTTCATGTCTGGCTGACAGACAAAGAGATAGACAGACAGACAAGCATGCATGTGCATATACACACACCCATTCTTTTTGTTCACATATTTTATTTTTTAGGGAAAAACAAAATAGCACTACATAGTTGCTATGTTCCTCTTCACAGGTGATTTTTGAAATTTGCCATCAATAGGTTTGGAGCAGGGGTGGGTTCCGGCAGAGACTATTGCCGGTTCGCTCAGGGGCACACCGTGAGCGCATGCACAGTACAACTAAAATAAAAACAAGATGGGAACCGGGAAAACCGGTTCGGGGGCTTGACAGACTTGGGTAGCTGTCAGTTCCAGCAACCCAGGCTGCCATGGTACTACCGGTTCGGCCAAACTGGGCCAAACCGGTAAGAACCCACCATTGGTTTGTGGTGTTCCAGTACCAATTTGGTCAGCTCCAATTCCATAGTGCTGTGGTGACTGCCAAGAACTTGATCTGCTTACTGGTAAACCACTTATCTAGCTAAAAGCCATTCTTGTCAAGGATCTGAACTTGACTGAGATTGACGGCTGATGTGTCACAATAGAAAAGACAGCCATTGAAAACAAGGGTCAAGAAGCACGCTATTTAGAAAAAGGAAAGAAAATGACCTCATAACATCCAGTCTGATGACCAGAGTTATATTGTATTTATGGATGGCTCCAGGCCTGGGTCTCCTTATAGCTCTGCCAAAATACTGTTTGCTGCTCTTTGGACATCCATATACATATATTTTTTTTCTGTCCCTCAGATTGCTGGCTGCTATTCAAAAAAAGTCATGCACTGCAGTGAACAGGGCGCTAAGTGTCTCTGTTCTGTCTTTCTTTTGTCTAGCCATCAATCCTACTCAGTTTTGTGGATGTCACTGAAGGCGTTTAGATGAATGGTAGGATTCACCAACATAAATTACTGTATCTTATTTCCCCCCCAACTGCCACAGACACGCCAGCTTTGCAAAATCCAGTCACTCACCACAAAGCAATGTCATGATAGGTCAATTACTTCCAAGCTACAGAAATTTCTCTTGGTTTCATGAGGGCGTTCATTTTGAACAGAGAAAGAACATTTTTAGGAATGAAGACTAGATTGGCTTTGAGGTTTATCTTGTAATGTAAAATTTAAATGTAGATTATAAACCCACCTGAAGTAACAATAACTCACAAGCCTGAAGTGATAATGCCTTAAGAGGGTTATTATTTCTCAGAGTCTGGTGGATTTATTACGCCATGAGATTTCTTAGGGAGGATTTGTACCAGCCAAATGGATACTGGAAACCTCCAAGAAAATAAAAGGCACTTCCACTGTAAAATTTGGAGCTGCCAAACCTTCATAGGGTAAGCCATGTGGTTTCCTTTCCATGCTTCTATAGCATAATAGGTATCTATGTCTCTTTCTTGGAGTTCAAATAGAAAAAAATCACCCTTTACCATTACGGCCGGTTTCTCAGAGAAAACACACCTGACAGTATTTATTTATAAATTCATTTCTCTACCAGCTTTCTTTTCTAACGGCGCTCCCCTAGGCAGTACACAAAACAAAATACCAGAATCCAAACTGAAAAACAACAAAATTAAAATATAATGTTAAAGCCAAGAACAACAGAGCTATCATCTTCAATCTTAAAGCAACAACCTTTAAAAGGCAGACCAAATGCGCCCCCCACTCCCCAAAAGCAGCCTCTCTGGCAATACAGGTGCAAACACAAAGAGCTGTAAACACTTAGTTTGCTTGATTATAATCACTGATAATATTCTCAGACCATCTGCTATATCCAACCCAAACTCCCAAATTTTCCTTTCCTCTCCTTCCTTTCCTTTCCTTTCTTTTCCCCTCACCCTCCCTTCCCTTCTTTCCCGCATTGCTTGAAGCCTTAAAACATATTTCAATTTTCCCATCCTTTTCTTTTCCTTTCTAAGAATGCTGAGGGCAAAGGTTTTTCCTTTGAGGTAGGCAAAGTCAGAAAACAGGAACCACAAGGTGTCTTGGGATACACTTTAATGGAATGAAAGTCTTGTAGCAGAATTTTGAAAATCCTGTCAAAGCCTCTCTCTACTTCACAGTATATCTAACCCCAATCAAAGTGGGGTTGTTTGGAGTTTCTTTCTTATGGTACTTTCCCATGACTCAGAAATCTTTTCTGTAACAGCTGTATATTTTTGGGGTGTTCCATTGCTATTTTCTTTTTTCTTATTTAGAAGGCCACTAGAGGAGCAGTAGCAGTGCAGAGTGTCCCTGTGTTGTGGCATGAGTAGAGCCAAGATTTTCTTGTTTTGCAGGAAGGAGAAATGACTATTTTCTTTACTTGATTATCTTAAAATTATCTTAGAGCTTACCCTGCTATTTTTGTGTGTTTTATGATGACAAAGTAAGCCACTGATCTTTGGCAGTAGAGCAGGAAATCAGAATAGAGTAGAAGTAGAGTAGAATAGAACAGAATTAATAGAAATAGAAAAGAAATAGAACTAGATTGGAATAGGACTAGAGTAGACTAACAGAGCTGGAAGGGACCTTGGAGGTCTTCTAGTTCTGCTCAGGCAGGAAACCCTATACCATTTCAGACAAATGGTTGTCCAATCTTTTCTTAAAAACCTCCAGCAAAGCCATAGTAAAAGAGCTTCAGGATCCTATATCTGATCATGGGACCAACTGTAGAGAGTAAGGAGAGGGAAGATCCATTACCAAGGCAATCAGCAAATGAATCCTGCATAAGTTCAGCAAAAAAGACAGACACAGCCAACATTCACATCAAGAGAAAAAGAGAGAGCAAGAGGAAGAACACATTCAAGCCTGCAAGAGTCTATTACTATAGCTAATCTTAATAAAAGTAGTTTTAGGCACACAAAGCATATGTTTCTTGATCTTGTAGGGCTGACACCAATCCTGCTCTAGATTCACAAGGAAGAGAAGAGGAACATGACAATAACACTGGAGGCTAGCGGTTCTCTTTTGAAGGTATGTAGCCATTTTCCACCAGAAGCCATTCTCCACCAGACAATCATGACTAGACAACCATAGACACTTTTCACTAGAAGGGACAAATAGGTTGTGTGAATACTAAAGGAAATTCTGGTGCTACCTGGGTCTATAAACTCTATTCAGGAGATACTCGTAATAATATTTCAGAAAAAAATAGTAAATTATGGACATGCTGAAGTATTTAGAAGAAACTTTTGTTCAAATATGCTTTGGGTTTTTAATTTTTAGCACTTTGTTACATGATTTTATCTCTTTTTCGTTTTACTTGTTTTGCATATTTTCTCTTGTTACCTGCCCAGAGACGTTAGGGCTGGAGAAGGCTATAAACATTGATAACAGATAAATAAATAAAGCTTTTCACATTGGAATACATTGCAGTTGGAAGGAGGACTGGGGTTTATGTTCCCCTTTCAGATACATTTTTCTAAGCTCTATTCATAGTGCAAACCACGTTATTGCTTAACAATGCTCCCTTGGGATATTCATGGAGAAATAAAGGTAACAAAAATATTGATTATATATTTCGTGCAACAAACAGAAAACAGAAATACCTGTCTGCAGTGATATTAATAAATTCAGCCAAAACTGAATAAGAGATATAAATTGGCAATGTCCAATGGGATAAAGGAGACTCAGGCCCAAAGTTATTATACACGATTAGCTTACTAAGTGATCTAGGGTCAATTATTCTTTATCTGTTTATTTATTTATCTATTCATTTTATATAGCTTCCCATCACAAACCAGTGACTCTGGATGGCAAACAATCATAAAAACAATTAAAACAGAATACAATAAAAATATATTAAGCAGCCAAAGATATTATAATTCATTGGTGTCAATATAACTAGGAAACTGAGGCCTTCAAACACTTGGGACCACAGACCTGGGCATATAGCCAGATTTTCAAGGCCTGCTAAAATGTCAGCAGGGCTGGGGCCATCTCAATCTCTGGAGGGAGAATGTTCCAGAGGCAGGAGTTATGGCAGAGAAGGCACCTCTCATGGTTCCCACCAGTTGACATTCTTTGGCTGAGAAGACTTGAAGCATGTCCATCCTACCAGATCAGATTGGATGGGTAGAAACAACTGAAAGAAGACAGTCTCTTAGGTAGTATGGTCTTAAGCCATGAAGAACTTTAAAGCTCTTCTATGATTAAACCACCTCCTCTTCCTCCCACCTCCATCCTCGGAAAGAGTCAATAGGTGGATAAAAATGCCAAATGTCAGCAATCATAATACTAGTGGCATGATAAATTTCTACAAAAGATTGAGGGGAATGCATAAGATAAAAGCTAACAATGGCTTACATTTAAAAAAATGAATCTGAATGATTCATTTGATTTTGGCTGCTCAAGAGCAAGCTATTCAAACTAACACAATCAAGCCCAGAACTGAAAAATCATCAAATCATGTCAAATGCAGATTGTACAAAGAAGTAGAGGAAACAGTAGGAATTATGTGCAGGAAGATCCCATAATCTGATAAACAATGAAATAATGCAATAACTAAAATGTTTCACTGGAACATCTGTAAGAATGATCGTGTTCTAGCAATGAAAAATTGGTGGGAATGTATAGCTGAAAAAGTAATTAAAAAAAATTAAAATATTGTGAGATTTCCAAATACAAACAGATAAAGTCTTGGTTTGTAACACACCAAATTTAATGCCGTTGAATAGGAGAAAGTATGGATAATTAATGTACAACAGGAGTAGTAAAAAGAAGTAGGTAGATAGGTATGTAAGTAAGTAAGTAAGCAAGCAAGTAAATAAGTCCTAATACCATAAAACACATTTATAAGCAAAGGAGAATAGGACAAGAAATGCTGCTGATGTTACCTAGGCTGGTAATGAAACGTTCAGAATCTAAATGGAAACGAACTTGGAGAGCAAACCACTGCCATAACCATAAAACCCTTCCCAATACATAACAATCATAGAACTCTCAATGGCCAGTGGAAGATGATGATACCTTTGGGAAAAAGTGGCTCCACAAATAACCTGGACCCATTCTATGCAGGGCTTTAAAGGTAACAATCAGCACTTTGAATTGTATCTGGAAAGACACTAGAAGCTAATGTAGCTTACATAGCTGAGGTGCCAGTAAATCAAAGGGAACATGAAACTGTGTGTGCGCTACTGCATTCTGCATCAGTTGTAAATTCTGGATGGTCTTCAAAGTCAGTCTCATGCACAGTACATTGCAATGATCTAACTGGGAAGTGACAAATGTATGAGTGATTATGAGCAACACCTCCTGATCCAGGAATGGGCACATAGCTGACACACAAACTGCAAATGTGCAAAGGTATCTTTAAGCTAAAGTAGCTAACAGTTCTTCTGTGAGCTTAGGAAATGCCCCAATTTGTGTCCAAGGCCCCTTCCATGTGTTCATTCCAAGTTGCAACCAAGCCCTTGGCTAAGCCACGAATCAGAGCTTCAGGAAAAAGTTCATGTTCCCTCTGAAATGGCACTGGGTCTATTGGTTGCCTGGAGTGGACCAATTCAATAAGTCCTACTTCCTTGCAGTGGTGTCGCCTCAGAAAACTCTATGGCCAGAAAAAGAAGACAAGAGGTTCCTATTAACATCCCCCATGGTATGAACCCTGTATGAACTGTGACAAGACAAAAGCCTACTGTGAGACCTCCTTTGTGAGTTAAATCCTGAATAAGTTGGACCAGATCCATGGTTGCTATGAACATGTGAGCCACTTCTGACTCCATTCTTAGAGAAGACTGGCTGAAGTCCCACAGATAAGCCTGGGGAATGGCATTCCCAACTCAGCTACAATGTCAAGGAGCTTGGACAGAAACACTGCTAAACTACAGAGAGAAAGATAAACAAGAGCAGCCTCAACTAATCCCTATGGTCCAATCTCACACTGAAAGTTTCATATCCAGCTATGTCTGACACTACCAAATAAAAACTGCCCTCCCTCTTGGCCCCCTAAATAGAGCCATATTGATTACTTAGCTATAATCAATAAAAAAAAGCTAAGATGATTTATGGAGGTCTGTTTGTCCTCTAAGTTTGTATTTTCAGTTTGTTTTCCTTTTCATTGGTTAGTCAGTGATACATTACATGTAAGCCTCATCAATAGAAAGGTGTTATTTTTTAAAGAAGGAAAAATGCATATTATGGTCATAAATGAGCCACAGAAGAATTAGCAGCGATTTTGGAGCTCAATTTTTACTGGATCCAAAGTGTAATGGAATCTGAGGTTTAACTTTCCACCTCCTATCAGAACATGGGAAAATTATTTAATTGGGATCATGGCTGGAGAAAATCCCCCTTTCCTTTGGGCTGTGACTTCTTATAACCCCTGGACCCACTATTACTTAACCTCCGACCCATCTAATTCTGCTTCCAATTATAAAGTTAGTTCACATTTATTCCTGTCTCCAGAATGCTTTGTTCAGCAAATTTGAGAAAAAGCCGTATTTTCAAAAGTTGCAATACTATTTTTTTAAAAACGAAGGCAATGCTAATTTATTGAGTTAGACTATCCATGACATTCAACTATATATCTTTGGTTTGAGACTGCAAATTCAGCAGAAGATTGAGAAACTAGGGAAAGAGAGAGGGTTCAAACCCCTTTCCTCTCATTCCATCTTTTGTTAAAAAAAAAACACCTGATTTTTTTCTTTTTTTTGTAACTTTAATTCTTATAGCAGTAGACTTATATACCGCTTCATAGGGCTTTCAGCCCTCTCTAAGCGGTTCACAGAGTCAGCATATTGCCCCCAACAACAATCCGGGTCCTCATTTTACCCACCTCGGAAGGATGGAAGGCTGAGTCAACCCTGAGCCGGTGAGATTTGAACCGCTGAACTGCTGATCTAGCAGTCAGCTGAAGTAGCCTGCAGTGCTGCATTTAACCACCGCGCTACCTCGGCTCCCTCTTCATTCAGTTACACAAAACCAAATTGGGCTAAACCACAGATGTCTGTCACGGTAATTAATTTTCAGTTAATGAAATAGAATGTTTAAGAATGATAACAATTTAAAATCCTCCCTGAAAAATCCAAGGATATTTATGAAAGAAAATGAGTGTCGACTTACCTCTACTTAAAGTGTTGTCTTTTTTATCTGTTAAACTCATGGCTAGGGATGCTCCATCAGGGATCTGAGAGGCAGAGGAAGAAGCAGAATCTTATTAAAAGGTAAAGGTTCCCCTTGAACATATGTGCTAGTCGTTCCCAACTCTAGGGGGCAGTGCTCATTTCTGTTTCAAAGCCGAAAAGCCAGTACTGTCTGAAGACATCTCCGTGGTCATGCGGCCGGCATGACTAAATGTCAAAAGCGCACAAAACACTGTTACCAAAGGTGGTTCTTATTTTTCTACTTGCATTTTTACATGCTTTTGAACTGCTAGGTTGGCAGAAGCTGGGATAAGTAACAGGAGCTCACTCCGTTACGCGGTGCTAGGGATTCGAACCTCCGAACTGCTAACCTTTCTGATCGACAAGCTCAGTGTCTTAGACACTGAGCCACCACGTCCCCTAGAATCTTATTAGGAACTAGCAAATTGGGACATTTCTGCAAAATGACTGAGAGACATTTACCAAATGAACTTAGCAAAGATTAGAATCTCCATTTTAGGGTACATGCATTTTTCTGCAACTTGAGAGACCGCCTCCTGCCAATTACCTCCCTGCGACCAATTAGATCGCATAGATTAGGCCTCCTCCGAGTACCATCTGCCAGTCAGTGTCGACTGGCAACCACACGGAGGAGAGCCTTTTCAGTAGTAGCTCCGACCCTCTGGAACGATCTCCCTGTGGAGATTCATACCCTCACCACCGTCCAGACCTTCCGCATAGCCCTTAAGACCTGGCTAGCCCGCCAGGCCTGGGGATAAAGATAGGCTGTCCCCACCCGAATGATGAATGAGTGTTGCTTTTATTTTTATCTTTATGTATTATTTTGTGTCTGTTATTTGTATCCCCCCTTCCCCCATTTTTATGTAAGCCGCCCTGAGTCCCCTCAGGGAAAAGGGCGGCCTATAAATGTTAATAAACATTCCAAACATTCCAAACTTGCTGCTGACAAATGCTTACAGAATCTCTCCTTTGTCTCCTCTGCCCATTATCAAATCTTTAAAATAAAACTTGGCTGCAAATTCATTTGATTGATTCTACAGTTATTTTAAAGGCTTGTCTAATTTAACTACATTACGCTGCATCCCATCTTTAATATGCATATAAGTATTAAAGAATTCCTATTTTACATTTTGATAAAAATATTAAGGTATCTGCAGAAACAACAGTTTGAATTAATTTTTTCCCTTAAGGATGCAAACCGGAACATGCCATCACTTAGGAAGAAAGCTACATTGTGCAAAGAGAGATTTTTTAAATAAGCAGGCAGAGGCTTATTTTGTTCAAATTGTTTCTCTATTTTTCTTATGTGACAAAATGCCTGTGGAAAACATTACATCAGAATAATAGAAACACTGTGGATTTTGCACAAAAGATCCGTGAACAGGAGATGGAAGAAATGTAATAGTCTGATAGCAGGTGCTCTCCGCAAATTACGTCTGAATTCTTTGTTATACCATTTTCCTTGCACATTCTATAAGGTGAGTTTTTAAAAAAAATACATATTAGATTACAGACTAGTTCACTTACATAGCCACCGTAAGATTGGGTAAACATAAAGTTTAAAAGTAGGACGGGTTTAATTGAGATCAAGTACAGATATAGAATCATAGAATCAAAGGGCTAGGAGGGACCTTGGAGATCTTCTAGTCCAACCCCCTGCTCAAGGCAGGAGATCTTATACCATCCCAGACAACTGGTTGCCCAATCTTTTTTTGAAAACCTCCAGTGATGGAACGCCTACAACTTCAGGTGATAAACTATTCCATTGATTAATCATTCTCATTGTTAGGAAATTCCTTCTTATTTCCAGGCTGAATCTCCCTCTGTCAGTGCTTCCACCCATTGCTTCTTGTCAGGTACTAGAGAGAATAAATCTACACCCTCTTCCCTTTAAGCCCTTTAAGTATTGGAAGACTGCTATCATGCCTCCCCTGAGATTTTTCTTCATTAGGCTAAACATACCTAGTTCATTGGGCAGGGGGTTGGACTAGATGACCTACAAGGTCCCTGCCAATTCTGTTAATCTGTAATCTGTATGATTTAGCCTCCAGATCCCTTATCATTTTTGTCACTCTTCTCTGCACTCCTTGGACTGAGTCTCTCTTTTACACCGTGGTGATCAGAACTGGATGCAGTACTCTAAATGTGGATTGATTAGTGGAACATGGAGCAGTACCGTCACTTCCTGCAATGTTGATGATATCTCTCTGTTGATGCAGCCTAAGGACTGCATTGGCTTTTTTGGCAGCTGCAACAAACTGCTGACTCATACTTAAGTGGTGGTCCACTAGTCCTATCTAGTTACTACTGTTAAGACAGGTGCCTCCTCTTCTATATCAATGAATTTGATTTTTCCTGCCTACGTACAGGACTTTACTTTTCCCACCACTCTACTGCATCTTCTTCTATAGGGTCCAATGCTCAAGTCTATCAAGATCTTTCTGAATCTTGAGTCTATCTTCCGTTGTGTTGCCAATTCCCTCTAGCCTGGTGTCATCTTCGAATTTGATGAGTTCCTCTTCGATTCCCTAATCTAGATCATTTATGAAGATGATGAGGAACGTCAGATTCAAGGCAGAACCCTGAGGTACCTCCCTCCACATAGATGTAGATCCATGGAGAACTACATGCTGACTGCAGTTGGTCACTATTAGAATACTATTAGAATAACAGAGTTGGAAACGACTTGGAAGTCTTCTAGTCCAACCCCCTGCCTAGACAGGAAACCCTATACTTGTGATGGCAAACCTATGACACGCATGCCACAGGTGGCACACGGAGCCATTTGTTAGGGCATGTGAGGCGTTCCCCTGTCAGCTCCAGCATGCATGTGCATGCTGGCCAGCTGACTTTGGCCTTCATTTTCGGCTGTTTTTTGCTTTCCAACTCCGAATCCATCTGGTGGTGGTAATGTCTATCCCACATTTTTCTATCTTACCAGAAATAAGCTGTGGTACCATAAAGATAATGAGAGCCAGTTAAGGCATGAGGCTAGAAAATGGGAGATTGGGAGCTTTAGGTATAAAGCCAACTAGGTGACCTTGGGCCAGTCACTTTCTCTCAGTTCTAGGAAGCAGGCAGTGGCAAACCACTTCTAAAAAATCTTCCCAAGAAAACTGCAGGGAATTGTCCTGGCAGTCTCTGAGAATTGGGCACAACGGAAGGGAAGGGGAAAAAAAAAACCAGAAGTAGTACACGCTCAGTCCCATGGCTATTTGTATGAAATTAGTATACGCGTGTGAAAATGCTTTGAAGAAAGGCCTAAATTATATGACTGTCACTTCAAATGAAATTGAAATTATTTTTCACAAAGGAAGTTAAAAAAAAAGCAAGCTTCTTTTGTGGGTAGCCCGTGCTCCCCTAAGAGATCAATGTGAATTCTGACACTATTGTTAAGAAGAGGAATGGCATGATTTTAATTAGGACGGATGGATGGCAGCCACTGGGAAAATGAAGCTTTTTCTTCCACGGCAATATCTTGTTTTGCATGAAAAGTGTTTAATTAGTCTTGATGTGTTGCAATATTAACGAATTTCTCGCCAGGGCAGATGTCTATTCCCCAGAAGGTCTTGTGGAGTTATGGCAACCTTCCTGCTTTTCTTCTGTTAATCCTGCTTAGGAAGCAGATCGTGGGGCCTCGGAGGAAAGCCAGGCTTAAAGGGAGAGAAATTCTTGGAGCAATGACTCTTCTTACCTTATAATGTCCTAAGGTGTTCAGTTTTTTCCTGCCATCTTCCATCACGGAAGTGTCATCAAGGTCCCGGAGGATGTAACTGTCAGTGCTTGTGGCAAACCATTCTAAAATAAGAAAATGGAATGAGTAAAAAAAGTTGCCTGGAATACAGCAAGTGTTAGTTAGCAAGAATATAAATCGCTTTTCTTATTTTGATGCCACATTGTGTGATTTGGGAAAGGAGTACTCCAGTAGCGAGCTCCTGGGATTTAAAGAGCATTTTTATTCCATTAAACTCACATGTGAGTTACCATGGTAGGAAATCTTTTAAGAGCATTGCAAGTAGATAATTTGTAATCCCTGTACTCCACTTGGATGTTATGACCCTCTTTGTCCCATCTATACCAATAAAAATACTTAGAGAATATAAAGAAGTCTGCAGGAATATTTTCCAGCACTCTGATTTCCAGCTACCTGGATTTAAATAAATGTACAGCAATCATTTTTGCTCAAGTACTGTCTAATCCTGAATGAATTGATACATAAATTCAGTTAATTTCAAACATGAACTCTGAAGCACAATTTACGAAAGAAAATGTAAATAGTTTAAAAAATCTATTAATTAATTGTAAAGCTAGCATTTTTTTTCTGATTTCAACCAAGGTAATTTTTCCTCAGAACTTTTTTTTTTAAATTCAAAGGACGGAAACTGCTGAACTCATTGTGAACATCACTATTTTCTCTACCTTACCTCAGCATTTATATTTGGAAATAAAGTTTTCTACCTTTGGTTCTGACAAGATGTCCTTTTTTAGTTTTTGGCAAACATTAGCAACAGTACTTTATGTTCCAGTGGCTTTTTTTCTGAACGTGACCAAAAGGCACAACTGGGGGCATTGATGAGATTTAGCCCTCAGTGTTTTATTTGATGGTTTGGTCATTCAATAATAATAATTTGTGCATTTATTTAGAAAATTTATATTGCTGCCTACTCGCACATAGTCACTCAAGGTGGCTTACAAGGCTGTAAAAACACCATATTAAAGAAATAAAAAGAATAATAAAAATAAAATAATTAATACCCCTCCCCCCTCCCTGGCGACAATACACATTCATACTAGCCATTTAATGGGCTCCATCCTGCTCTGGGTTCCCCAGGCCTGTTGGCAGAACCACATCTTCAGGGCCTTCCGAAAAAGTGTTAGAGTAGGGGCCAGTCTAATCTTGGGGGGGGGGAATGACATTCCAGAGAAGGGATCCACCATGAAATAGGCCCTTCTCCTGGATCCCTCCAGATGTATCTCCTTAGTACCATCTCTGTTTATTACATCATTTACATATCCAAGAACATATGCACACATACCAGGAGTGAGTTCCACAAATCTACAGTGCCGTTTAGAACTGTTTCCAGCTGCCTCCCCCCTCCCGTCTGCACATCATCAAGATGAAGAGCGAGAGGAGGAATTCTGGGAGTTGAAGTCCACAAGTCTTAAAGCTGTCAAGTTTCAACACCCCTGGGGGATTTTTTCTAAAGGGTTAGGGGTGCAAGGGTCTTGTAACTTGACAGCTTTAAGACTTGTGTTCGTCAAATGCCAGAGTTTCTGAGCCAACATTTTGGTTGCTAAGTAAGAATGTTGTTAAGTGAGTTTCACCACATTTTACAAGTTGGCTATGCCCATCCAGTCACATGTCTGGCAAGCCACTCCCACAAAAGAGATTTTAAAAATTTTTGAAACCCACCACTGAGATATAGACACACTCCGCCTCAATTCAACCCATCTCTGACTTTTTTCATTCCTGGGGTTTCTAGGTTTGGGGATTACTTTGCTTGTATGTAACTTAAGCATTTTTAATGGCAAAGTGAATTTTGGAAAACAAACAAAACAAAGACCAAATCTCTTAAAGAGCTGCTTAATTCCCAACAGCCGATCACAAAAATACACTAAGGGAAGATATTCGAAGTCTGGATATTATCTTGTATATGATGAGAATTCATATTCAAAAGATAAAAACTGGTGTTTCTGAACAAAAAAAAAAACCGTACTTACCTAGGTCAACATCTTCCACTCTTGGCCATTGGGAGTATGGAATATTCTTGCAAAAGGCTTCAAGTATCTTCTCTTTAACTTGACTGAGCGTATCTGTATCCATTACTCGAACGCTCAGAGAGTCCATTCCACAGCCTTGGAAAGACACATTAAGATTCTGTGGAGGAAAATGGTTGCTAAGGTTGTAGGTGATGTGCACAAGTTATAAGACATAAAAAGCCTATGAACCATAGACTCCCAAGAATTCTTGGCAAATCTAGCTGCCATACATTAAAAGAAAGAGGGAGGGCAAGAGATGAAGTTTAAAGCTACTGAAAAGCACTGATTTATAGTTCAGTAAATTAATATTGACTGTTTTATTCAAGGCAGTATGAGAACATTGTAAGCTCCCTTTGAACTGTCTGTCTATGGACTTAAGGTCTGAAATACAGGAACCGTATCATGCACTTGGTGTTTTCTTCCATAAATTCATTTTTAGCACCAGTGAATATGGGTACAATGAATGCCAAGTGATACCTTACTTTGCCTTAGAATGATGATGAACACTGTCTCTCTCTCTGTGTGTATGAGAGAGGGGTGGGAGGGAGGGAGGGAAGGAGAGATATGTAACATAGAGGTACTACATAATAAATGACCTTGACTGTTCTCTGGGCTAAGCAGAAATTACATTTAGCAACCTGAGCTCCTGTGTCTCTTTGTTGCTACCACTGCTGCATTGACATAGTTCTCATAAATATAAGCAGATAAAACCTAGACATGTGTCTTAACTTAACTACCTCAGACTGCAAATGAGGGTTGATATGATGAAATACTTCTCTACAAGACAAAAAAAAAAAAA